AAAAAAAAAAAAAAAAAAAAAGTCAAGAAGAAAAGTAGCCCAAAAGGAGCTGTAAATTAATTACAGTACTCTGGTGTCCTGTTTTCATTTGTGCAAGAGATATGTTTTTTTAAGTGCCTACAACTGCCAGATATTGTGCTAAACTAGGGGAAAAAAATATATAAAAAGAATTTTTATCAGGCCAGGGATTTAGCTTAGTGGTTCTGGTGCCTGCTTTGCAAGCGCAGGGACTCAAGTTTGATCCCCGGTACCAAAAAAAAGGAATTTTTATCACCAAGGAATTAACAATTGGTTGGGGGAGATTCTTACACTATGATTTAATATCAAGGATATGCCATTATCTGCAGTGATGTCATCAACAACTTCTGCCTTTGACTCTGATTTGGGATCTACATTTATACTTGATCTAATTCTTCACTGAATCAGTTGATGCCTGCTTTTCACAGATTACACACATACCTTGATAAATATAAGTGACAATCAATTTAATTTATTCTAATCCTCTGCACGTTTCTATAAGAACATTAGCAAGATAACACAGGGTTAGCAATAAGCAGAAAGCATACTCAGGAGCTACTTTATAGGAGTCCCTCCAACTTAATCTTAAATGTCTGGGACCACTCTCAAAATATCAAGTCTACATATTCTAATACATCTGAACTCTTCTGGAACCTATTTCTATATTTTCTGTCCACTCCTTGGGATGATAAATGCTATGAAATACAAATGCTCAATAATTTCCAAATATAACTGCTATGTGATGCAAGAACCTGAGAGTATCCAGAGAAATTCTGATTCTCTTTCTCTTGCCTCATATCCCATACAAAGAAACAATAACAACAACAAATCAGTAAGCTACCACTTGGTAAGCTCTGTACTGTGTGCTTGGGGCACATGGAAAGAATAAACCAATTCCTGCCCTCAAGGATTTCCAGACAGAGACAGACAAGTAAATCAATAGTTAAAAAGCCTTACCAAGGGACAGACAGATGCACAGGTATGCCAAAGCATACTTATGTGGTACATAAGAACCACATGGAAAGGGGGAAGAGTGGTTCCTCAGAAAAGCCTGGGAGGGGTTCAGATTGGTATCAGGAGATTTAAAAACAAAAAAGGCTAACTACAATGCAGGGTCACCATACTAGCTATGTGCCCTTAGACAAAACTAGCTTACCTCTCTAAATGTATGTTTCCATGTCTATAAAACAGGGACAGGGACAGGGATATAGTCAGGCACTGTGTCTGCCTGGCAAGCGGGAGGTCTTGAGTTTGATCCCTGGTATGGGAGCCAGGAGCATGCCTATAATCCCAGCACAAGGGAGGCTTAGGCAGGAGGAACCCCGTGCCAGCATGGGGTACACAGTGAGTTCAAGATCAGCCTAAACTATACAGTAAGACTCTGTCCCAAACACACACACACACACACACACACACACACACACACAGAAGGTAGTAACACCTACCTTCAGCGTTATAAGAAAAACACCTAGTACAAAAGAAAGTATTCAAGAAGGCGTTTTTAAAGTCCTTGCTCTGGTTTTTTCATTTTAGTAACAACTGTGTTAACTGTGTACTAAGAAAACACTTCACAAATTATTAACACAAAGTTTTTAAACATAAAGCTTGCCTACAGGTCTTGCTCTGAAAGTTCAGGTTTTTTCCATCTATGTTTGGTCTATTAAATTACCCTTATTATACTTTGTCTACCCACTACAGGTCCCTTCCTTGGTCAAAATAACTAGAATAATCCTTCACACTCCTAGAGTTCCTGTGTTATACTATTCTCTAAACTTTCTCTTCTCCACTGTTGACAAACTTCAAAATTTCTTAGCCTGAGAGTCAAGGTTCTCTCCAATTTGAACCCACCTCAAGCTCTGAAAGTCTCTGAGCCATGGCTCCTTCTTTTCAAAATATTGGACCTGTAATTTGGCATTGTGCAACTTTTTTTTTTTTTTTTTTTTAATGAGCAAAACCTTTAACCAGGTAATAGCAACTTCTGGGAAATTTAAGTTCAACAGAACATACACAAAAATCTGTTTCAAGAACTTTCATTGAGAATGATGAAAACTGGCAAATATATAAATGATCAACAAATACAGAACTGGTTGACTACATTACAACATTTATCTAAAACAGAAGAGCATATACAATCCCTTAAAATTAAAGTTCATTGCATGAAAAGATCTTAGTAAAATACATAGCCTTAAAGGTTATGAAACCATATATTCTCTTTTTCCCAGTGTGTATACAGTGAAACAAGCGGGGCCAAGTAAATACCAAGATATTTCAGGGGTTTTCTCTGAGTAGTAACTGGCTATTTTTATCTTTTTCCCCTTTGCTTCTTCTAGTTCCCAAAATTTATATATTTTGCTCACTATAAAAAGAGTAAAGACGCACAAACTATGCCTATCTGTCAAGCCCAGTCTAAAACCACTTTCTCTCCCCAAAACTCTTCTTCCTCATTTCTCAAATCACATTTAATTTCTAATCAGCCTGATGCCAGTTTTACACATCCTAATTCCCTACAGCAGAAAGAATAATGGAGAAAGGCCATTATTACACTGACAAGTACAGCAACAGTTCACTCCAGGTCTGAGAACGGAACAAACGCTATGACGTCATCCCGCTCGCCTAAAACAAATCACATGGTCGCCGGAGCACGTGACCCGTGCCCTTGCCCTAAGTAGGTCAGCGTCTCACGTTAGTTCAAGATATCGCCTTTCACGTTTCTCTCAGCAGCCAGCGGCCTGGGTATAAGCCTCTCCTGGGTGAAGCACGTGTAACTGCCTGAAAGTTACCTGTCTCCAAGGTCGGTTTCACGCACCCGCACGGGGTCACTGTGGGAGGAGGCCCCGGATCCTGCAAACGGCGCATGGCGGCCAGTAGCTAAAGCGCACGTAAGGCGTCAAGATTTCCGCTTCCGCTTTCCGGGCCAGCGCCTGCGCAGTAGCGCCTCTGGCGAGATGGCGCTGGTCCGCCGCGCAGGCGCTTGTCAGTGTATCCGCGGGCCCTCCAAGGTCTCTGGGTACCTGAGATCTCTTGGGACGTTGTTCCCCTCTCAGTCGTCGGCCTCCGCAGTCTGGGGCTCAATCGCTGCAGTTGCCCGCTTAACCTGCAGCACCAAGAGTTTCCGCGTTTTCTGAGGAGGCGAACGCACGGATGAAGATTTCCACGTAAAGATGTCTGTCTCGAATCTGTCATAAACAACCTATAGGCTCAACGAATAACCCTGTTTTGTTAAGAAAAAGGATAAGGGCCGGGGATTTAGCTCAGTGATTCCGCCACCTGTCTCGCACGCACTGAAGGACCCGAGTTCGATCCCCGGTACCAAAAAAAAAAAAAAAAAAAAGGATGAGTATATGCATTTATCACATATCAAAAAAGACTGGATATTAAATGTTTACAATTCTCTTCGGTAATGGAAATAGATGATTATACTTCTCTGTATGCCCATTTTTTCCATAATAAGTACGATGTTTCGTCAGAATCCCAAGGAAATATTTCTCCTGTGATGACTGTTGTTAAGGGAGCCCCACACCAGGTTAGGGGTTTAGAAATGGGAACTCTTTCATGTACTCCACATGTACTTAACCGAAACCGAAGAGAGGATGAAATTATGAGTTATAATTCAAGTTGGGAAGATTGTCATGTCTTCTCAGCACCTCTGAAAAGTTGAGGGCCAACGAGAAGTATTGTTTCATCCCATGGAATGACAGTCTTTACCCACTTCTTTGTAAGGTCCACTCTCACCTGTATAGTTTCTTTGTATACATAATTCTGTTTGTAGGTCCTTAACCTCTTGGTTCAGAAGAAAATAAAAAACACATTACCTATAATATAAACTATTCAAACGCATACAAGTCCACAGATTAAAAAGCTTAACTTTGGAAACTTGTTTCTAAGTCTTTTCATTGTCACTGACCAGTAGGTCACTAGTAGAAAATAACCTCCAGTAGGAGACAGAAGTTTAAGATTGTGAATTTTAAAAAAATGTTAACCGAGCATATTAATATCTTGTCCGCTGGCAGGTCTTTTCAACGTGAAATTTGCAAAGATCTGCCACTGTTTTGCTTTCAGGAAGACCAGTTCTGTTCAACAGAAGAAACAACCATTGGGTGACAAGTAAATTTGTAAAACTGGGCGGAAATGTCTGCACTGCCACTAGATGGCGCAGTAGAGAGTGATAGTGTCTTTTCGTTTGTGGAAAGCAGGTGATTTGCCTTCCTTTAAGGTTTATGACAGGTTTGAGCGCGCACACACACACACACACACACACACACACACACACACACACACGTAATTCCGTGGGCCGGGGGTTTAGCTCAGTGGTGCTGCCGCCTGCCTCACAAGCACATGGTGCCAAGTTTTATATCCGGTACCAAAAACAATTTTAAAAAACGTAATTACCAACTATAAAGAAGACTGAAACTCAAAGCAGACCTGGAGACACTAATGAAGTAGATTGCTCACTTTTTAAAAGGTAAAAAGTCCTCTGAAAACAGGAATTTATGCGGCACTTTTATTTTTGTTCTATTTTTATAGTGTTTAGGATTGAATCCAGGGACCGCTAAACTACATACCCAGGCCCCACCCCCTTTTGTAAAAAGGTTCATTGGAAGACCAGATCAAAGCCCCCCTTTTAAATTTTGAGACAAAAATCTCACTAAATTGTCCAAACTGGATTTGAGCTTATGATCCACCAAGGCAGCTACCCGAGTAGCTGGAATTACAGGCATGGGGCCACCGTGCCTCAGCTTCTTTGGGGGGGGGTGTTGAGGCAGGGTCTCACTGTGTAGTTGAGAGTGACCTGGAACTATGTAGTCCAGGCTGCTCTCGAACTCACAGCAATCCTCCTGCCTCAGCCTCCCGAATGCTGGGATTACAGGCATGTGCCACCATGCCCGGCCATGCCCCAGCTTCTATTAAGTTTTTATAATATCTAAAGTTTTATTGGATTATTTCTAGCTTACAAAACAACCCCTTTTGTGGAGACAGGACTAGGAGTCTGCTTTTTAAAAAAACAATAATGCTGGGTGTGGTGATGTTGAACTGTGATCCCAGGACTCGGAGAGGCTGAGGCAGGAAGATTGCTTTGAGTTCAAGGCTGTCCTGGGCTACATAGACCCTGCCTTTAAAAAAAGAAAAAAAGCAGGGCATGGTGGCGCACGCCTGTAATCTCAGCACTTGGGAGGCTGAGGCAAGAGGATTACTGTGAGGTCGAGACCAGCCTGAGCTACACAGTGAGTTCTAGGTCAGTCTCAACTACATCGAGAGACTTTGTCTAAATAAAATAAAATAAATAAGGGATACTTAAGTTTAACAAAAACCTAATTGTGATACAAGTGGTCATCATACTATGGTACTTTAAGATATACTTCTCAGTAGAGTGATTTTTTTTTTTTTTTTTTTTTTTGGTACCGGGGATTGAACTCAGGTCCTTGCGCTTGCTAGACAGTCTCCAGCACCACTGAGGTAAATCCCTGGCCCAGTAGAGTGATTCTTAACCTCATTTGAATAAGTACCGCTTTGAGAATTAAAGCTTTGGACCTTGTCTCACATTTTCAATGTAATATTTTAGGGTTCATGGATACTTTTTTTTTTTTTTTTTTTTTTTTTTTTT